TTAATGGTTTCCAAATCCCTTCGTGAATATTCATTCCAAAGACGCAGCCCCGCGTATTTGCGATAGTCTGTCGCCTCTAACAGGACAGAGAAAGGCCGTAGTTGCAGTTTGCTCTCGGTGACGTTACATCGACGCTAATGTAATTTGATCTTAAATAGCGCGGCCAGACTGCCGCCTGTAACGGCTACATTCGTAATTAATTTCGCGACGGGTATCACGTTTTAATTAAAAAAGGAAATCCAGTCACTTAGAGGCTCATTTAACGATACAGACTGTTTCTGAACAACCTTGCAACCGTGGCGAGTAAACAGGCTAATATTAGCAACTGGGCCATACTATAACATTTATAACGTTACGCGTGCACGTTGTACAATGGTTTAAAACGAAATTTTACACAGTTCAACGCGTCCGCTGTCGAGCCAAAATTGTAGAATTTTTGACAATTGCACGAAAATTAAACTAACATTCGCGAATTCTACTTCAGTTTATTTCATTTAATATTTCAGCCTGAGAATTGTTTTAATTCCAACGCGAGGAGTCTTTTTTTTACACGAATCGATCGAGGATATAATACTTTAAGACATAGTTTATTATTTTAGAATTTCACAAGTCGAAGACAGAGTAAATTCTTTTTCTTTGTATTCGTTTAGGACGGAGCTACAGGCTGACCCATTTACTGGAACCTGTATTTCAAAAACAAATATCCGGCGTCGAAAGGGCTTTCTATAATGTCCTTCCAGCTACGAGAGGGAACGTTCCCTTTGTATTTCTGCGTTTCTCTGTATTATATCGTTAACCGCTTTGGATAACTCGGAGCTTTTTAAATTTCACGCGACTTCAATTTCTCCAGGAGCACGGATCAGTGTTTCTCAATTTCTCTGTATAGCTCAAATAGGCGTTTGACCCGTGTTTCATTCAATGAAACGTCGATGAGAACGCTCCATTCGATCTTAAAATATTTAATGAATATTCTGCCAAATAATAGAAAATGTTCAGATTAAGCTGAAGTTGCTTTAAAAGGAAGAAGTAAGCATCAATATTTTTGAAAGATACTTTCGTTCCATTTTTCAAATTCTGTTCATTTAACATTATTAAATTGTTAACATAAAAGCTTGTACGTAGCACAGTGAATCGGTTAATTCGTTCGAAAGCTGAATTTCTGTAAAACAATCAAATCACCGTGACGCTAGAAACGCCATACGTTTAAGTCTCTACTACTTGTCTGACTAATGCTCGTTATTTCCACTTGCGTTGCTCCTTACAAGCGTTAATGACGGTGCAACCTGTTCCAAGTTGTTCCAACTAACTAGCAGATAGTAAAATTGATACAGGTGGAAATAATCCACGATAAAAAATAAGCAAAACGCGGAAAAATTGTCTCGTTTCTCGCCGGTCTGCTTTCAGAAAATTCACGTTCATTCGACTTTGCAATATGAATTTTCACTGTTGACCACGTCGTTTCAAATTAAACGTTCCCGAAAAAGGTACGCAAAACGACAAAAAACTAGTTTTTCCAATCTCCTCGCTGCTCGTTCGAACTACAGTTATTTTTCAGGAATATTTATCAACGGAAATTCCAAACGTGTTTCTTATTTCGTGTTACAGCGAAACACGACAGAGTAAATAACACTGCCGGTAGCGTATTATTTTTAAACGATACAAACGTTCCCGTCGATTAAATGAAATTAACAGAAACTTCGATCGCGTTTAATCCAACGCGCATGGATGAGCTGCGGGAAAGTTTAACTCTATAATTTTCGTCGAAAGAGGGAAACAAAAGCAAATCGATAATCGACTAATTAGCGTGAAAATTCAACGCAGACGGGATCGAGTTCGTACGTTAGTTGCGTCGAGAAAAGAAGAAAAAGTCGTTATTGTTAACTTCGACTCGGTTTCAACAAAAAAAAATAACATTTAAAGTACAAACCAAGTTTACCAAGGGAAGAGAGTTACGTTTGAATATAGTTACAAATGTAACACGTATTTCGTTGTACAAACGCGTACAAACAGACACAAACGTGCCGAAATCGAGATTTGATATTCCTGTGATGCTTCGAGGCGTACAAGAGCCCCGTTTTATGGATTCTGTGTTACGCGGAACGTGAATCATTAAAGCGGAAGCTACTCACGTCAGGAACGTGCTGGCGTTTACGAATCACTAGGTATTCCCTGCATCGATTGTAACGGGGGGAGAAAAAAAAGGAATCTCAAAGCTTTTCCCGAGCTGTTACTTCTTCTCCTGACCGTCTTTCCTTTCCTCGCTGATTTATCGCCTGACTGGCGTTACGTGCCTTCGGAACTCTTGTTACATCCAATCTGAACACTGGATTTAAATTGCAGAGTCCGATTAAAAATTACAGATATTATAATGGATCCGTAACCTGTTTCAAATTGCCACTCACGACATTTAATTATTATTTTCAAACGAACGGGACAGATTCAGCGAAGAGTCATCACTGGAAATTTTCAGGAATCGACAGCTAGATTTTAAGAATTTTTTGCCATTAAAATTTCCTCGTTCAGAAATCAGGTTTACTATAAGCTTCAATATCAATATCGACAGCTTGTTTTTGCCATTAAAATTTCCTCGTTCGAAAATCAGATTCACTCAATATCGATTTTGTTCTATGCATATTTCTGTATTATTCATATTTTCTCTTGTAAACTGATGGACTTGTACCCGTATAATACATAAATTAATTGATTAAGAAGTTAAGTATCGTCTAAAAGGATGAAGTCTGAGTCTCGAGAAGCGAACGAAAAATTCGAGAAAAATATACAATATTTGTATGTTTATCTCGAGTGTTTCTTGACGTTTCTCTCGTTTGCAAGGTGCACGGATACGAATCGTGCATTATTGCGTTCCTGAAAACGAGCAGGATGCTCCGTAGTCGAATTGGTTAAAAATTAATACGAAGATTGATGTGCGCGTTCCGATTCAATTATTCCGCGAGTTATGAGATATTCGCTGCCATTACATGCACGTAGAATGAGTTCTCCTGCAGCCTCGTGGAGAAGATTGATCGATAACGAACGACTTTATAAATACTCCTTTTCTCGTATTGTTTCTTTCGAGGCTCTCTCGCCGAGTAGTTTGGCTCGACATGATCGCGAACGGAAATCTCGACTCGCCATTTTGCTTTCGTCGCGGATCGTAATTAATTACTATCGTACAACGAACATCGCAACGAGCAGTATTTATTATTTCAAAGAGCATTCCAACGCGTACGGGACACTGACTTTGGAGAATTTTTAATTTGTTTGTCCACTGCAAACTTTCGCGAATTTTTGCTTTGGATTAATATTCGTCGACATTTATTCGCAGAGTGTCGATATTCGTCGAAAGTATTCACCGCGTTTTTCAATTTCACAGCAGACCGGGCAGACGAAATCGCTTGATTCGAGACGAAGCATATTGGTCAGCAAAGATTTCAACTGGACAAAGCTTTCGAGCTTGTCCGCCCAGCTACTTGATGTTAAACGTTTCGTTAAATTCGATACGATTGGGAATCCGTTCGAATTTCGCTATCTCTGAACGTTTTGCATCGTTGAAATAAAATCTGTAACAATATCTTTGAGTCCTTCCATTTTAACAATTACAACTGATTGTAAATATGATTATATTGATTCGGGCAGAGCTATCGTTAAATGTAAAAATAAATTGAAAATCTTAAAATATTTGAGGATCGATAAGTTACAAAATGGAGAGTCTAGGTCAAATTGCGAACATGTTCCCTTTAAAGCCGTGACTCGAATCTACTCCCATAAATCCTTCCGTTCCTTCGAGCCGACTTTAAGAAATTGAATCGTAGCGATTTTTAATATAGAAAATCAAAAACTGATGTTTCATTTTTTATCTCAATTATTTGATAACAAATCCTGGACGAAAGGATTAAGAAAATTTAATCCCCGGAACAAAAATCGTAGTCAAAGTTACGTTGTTCCTGCAACGTCGACGTAATACGGTCCGTAATTTTCAGTAATTAGAAACTGCTTACGTTTACCCGGACACATAATTAATTCATGCAGTGATCGCGTGATAAATTTCTCTTCAACTTCTCTCATGTTCGTTACCACGTTATTCTGCCAAAGTAATTAAAACAGGTTGAATAGAAATTGTTATCAAAAGTAATTTATGTCTTTCTGTTGAACACTTGAGACAAAATAGAGCACTCTCGAGCTTAGAAGCACGATAGAATCAAACACAAATCACTCAACTATAAACACCGAACACTGCGAGTGCTTAAGAGAACTGTTCGAACGAATTTTACGACTGGATGGATCTAAACAAACGAGACGACGACCTTCTGTAGATCGGAGGTCTGTTTATATTTGCTCACTCGTCTCGTTCAGTCAATTACGAGCAAAACACCTTAAAAATGTGCCAATAAAAGACACCAAACCTTTGACACGCAGTCTATTTCAATTTATGGAATATTATTGAAAAAAAGACAAATTTGTATGCGCGTAAATTTCATGAATTTTTACTAGTAATCTACGAATTAAAATTCTAAACCACGAGGGATTGATAACTAAGGTCTCCAAGCAAACACGATCAACGCTAGAATCTTCAATATTGAAAGGTTACATTCTTTATAAAATACCAATTAATAGGCTGCGAATATTTATGCATTCGTGGGAAATTTAAATTTTCAAAAGGTTACAAGATACACTTAATATGAATTATTATATTTAAGGGGTTCAGACAACCCTCTATAAAGCTCCCATTTACAATAATAGTGTATTTGTACCATAATTATTATTAGAATTATTGAACTCCCAGTTGTTCCCAAAGTTCAAGATACTGGAAAGTCAATGTTTTTGAAATTTTTTTTTATTCGAAACAATTTCATCGAACGTCCATTGCATCGAAAAATAAATACGTTGGTTCGAAACTCGATAGAACCACATTTCGAGATCCTTCGATCTCGAACACCGGAGACCTCGGTTACCGTTCGACTGGTGTATTTTTATTAACGCGTAGAATATTATAAACTCACGTGTGCTGTCGTAACGAATTCCGTTGAGCTCCTCGAGACACGGCAAAGTGGCCAAAGCACCCGGAGGCGTCCTCGGCCAACACAGCAAAGAGTCCCAGCTAATTTCGCATCCCAGTTGCTCCTGCTCCTGCCCTCCCATGGACAGCCACTCCAGCTCTTGGTGTTTGAGCTTCAAACAATTCATCGCCTCGGAATTGAGCGACTCGTTCAGCTTGTTAATATAGTTCAAAGCGTTCAGCACGTAATTACCGGTGTCGAAGACGGTCTCGTTATCCTGTAGCCTGGCCATGTCTGACCAAGTGTTCGACGTAAACACCACCCTTGCTCGACTTTCGATCGAGTTCGTTCACTGTCGAAAACTCGAGAGACGGTGCAACAACGCGAACAACAAACCCCGTTGCACCCTCTCCCCACGCGAAAATTATTTACGGATTTGTTTACCCTGGCCTTTTTCGTTCTAAGCTACTTGCCCTTTCGCGGAAACACAGATCGCCTTTGGGTGCAAAGGACCTAGTTTGAAAAGTTGGATGCAAAATGACGCGACGAACCGTGTATTCTGGCGTACAGACTCTGGAATTATTAAATTTACTTTACGAGTGCCCTTTGTTGGATCTTATTTTTCTTTTTGGAAAAAATGGGGCTGGAGGCATTTGCGAGGAGCTTGCAAGATTATAGAAGCATAAAAGTAGAAATTCAGTTGTTGTATCTTGACTCAAAATTTATCTATTATTTTTACAGGAACCACCTTTGGGTCTGGAGACATTTGCAAGATTATAGAAGAATAAGAGTACAATTTCACTTGTTATATCTTGACTCCAAACTCATCTATAAGAGCTCTATATTAAATCCTATTCTTCCTTCCATGGAAACACAGATCACCATTATTGAATCCTATTCTTCTCTTCACGAGAAAGAGACCTTTAGGTCTGAAGATATTTGGAGAATATTGATTGCAAGATTGTAAAAGAACAAGTTAAGAGTACAATTTCAGTTGTTACATCTTGCCTCTAAACTTATCTCTTCCATGGAAAAAATCACCCTTATTAGACCCTATTTTTCTTCTCACAGAAACCACCTTTGAGTCTGGAGAGACTTGCAAGGATGTTGGTTGCAAGATTAGAAAAGCATAAATTAAGATCAGAATTTCATTCGTTATATCTTGCCTCTTCATTTATAAGCTATCTACATGGAATCCTATTTTCCGTTCCATTTGAAGCACAGATCACCTTTGAGTCTGGAGACTTTTACAGAGAGTTACCTGCAAGATTCCACCCAGAGACTCGAGCAGCGTGAAATAACTAAAGTCTGGAACCGTGCAACCCTACTCTCCGCTCTATCCAATCTCTAACACTGTTTCCAAATGTCCTTTAGACCCTATTTCGTTTATGCAGGGGCGCGGATCTCTGTTGCATGCAAAGAAACTGGAATCGAGGACCGTGAAATAACTCGAGTCGGAAACCATGCATCTTGTCTTCAGAATTATTTACAATCCGAGACAACCTCGCTGATCGTTACGTTTAATCTTCCCAAAGACGTGAAATAATTATTCAAAAATAGAAACGACTACGTTCGTTAAATCTAGTTTCTGTACTACAAACTCGAAAATCAGAAACAAACGCGACTCTCGTTTTTTAGCTTCAATTTGCCAAGACTATTACCTGCCCCTATTCTTCCTGCAGGTTTCCTCGCAAATTGCACGCGGACACTTTCGCGGCGAATGTTCAGAATTTCGCGTAACCGAGGTCAGAACGCCAACTAGGGGGCTCGTAAAAGGACTGTTTAATCCCGACGAGGAGTGTTTTTTCACCGAACGTCCGACACGCTATTATTTCCACCGTATTTTTCGAGGAAAAGGGACCACCGTTCCTCGAGTAACGATGCTGATCCTTTAAGATCCTCCGTCATTAAAGAGGGGTAGGTTTATCCTCTTGGGCTCCTTTCTTGCTTTGGTCCGCGCATCCAAGATTAAAAGAACGTGCTCCAGATTCCTTCATCCTCCCCGACGCGACTTGCATCGAAATTTTTTAAGAAGCATTTCGCCTCGAGTCGTTAAATCCTCGGATAAGCTGACGCGTAATTTGTAATTTGTAATTTGTAATTTGTAATTTGTAATTTGTAATTTGCACGATCCCGAGGGGGGTGAATTGAAATCGACTTACGAACGCCTGGTAGTCGTTCCCTTTTACAACGATCGTTCAATCCGACTTCGTCGAGGGAATAATAGCCGATGGAATAATAAACGTTCCGCTCGGTAGCCTTCGTAGCCGCGTGATCATTTGTCAAGATCCTCCGCTGGATGGACACGAAATTGTCAACAGGGCTACGTGCACGTCAGTTATCGAGACCGCCGACGGCGCGATATCAAACGATTCGAACAGCTGCGGATGAAATTCCCACCTATTGTCTCGGCCGGAAACCACCGTCAGAACTTGTCCGCGAGCATCGGAACAAAAGGGCCCCGGGGATCTTACGATTCGAGGCTACCGACGAAACTACGGCGAAACTCGGACGGAATGCTCTCGATTCTGATTTCGAGGCCCCGACATTAACAGTTGGACAAAGGTTATCGTTTCTCGTTCTACCCGCCGTAGGAACGTCCTTAACAGTCACTGCTTAATCGCTTCCGTAAACAAGTTTCGAAGCTTCGCCAACTCCGTCCCCGTCGCGGCGATACGGTTCTTTCGCGCTGCTAACGAACCACAAACTGTTAATTACAGCCGAATCCACTGCACCTGGACGTCTCAAGGAGATCCTGTATATTGTCCCAGATCCTCCAGCACTGTACCGGCAGCACTTGAACATCCTTTATCGTCGTCCGTGGGGGATGGAGTTCCTTTTCGTTTATACTAATTTTTTTCAAACGACGAGCTCTGTGGGTGATGTCTCTTGATACATTCCGCGCTGTTGATCGCCTGGAATTGCGTTCCGGAGGAGAGGATGGAGTTCAGAAACGAGGGGAACCTCTCCGACGTGAGGTCTTCGAGCGACTGTTTATCGTATCTGTCTGCCGGCGGGCGGTGACACGCGACTGCCAGGCGGCACGTGCTCGAAGCGGATGGCAGACCTCGAGGAGGACCGGCGCGTTAGTCTCGAGGAAGCTGCGTGGCGACGGTGCCCGTGGCCGGTGCACAGACGCGTCCTGGCCTCCTCGCGGAGTCCGTCAACGGCCGTAGGAGACGGTGCACGGGTACAATATGGATTTTCGCCTGTACCTGGAGCCGACGTGGGCCACTGCCTGGCCTGCGATGCGTGCACGACGAGGAGGAGCATGCGCCACCATCCTCTCTTTCGCCTCTGCCAGGTGCCCTGCCTCTTCCCTGTCTTGTTTCGACGCACCTGTTCTCCTCTCCGCAGTTCCCCCACGTTGCAACGGCTCCCCTTTCTCGTCCTTCTTATTTCCGCGCTTCCGTCCGGGTTATCGAACCTCCGTCGCTCTTGTAACCTTCTGACCTACGAGGAAACTATTGTCATTGATAGTACGGTCAGTTGCCCTAATATGGAATACTCTTTTTTTTATACACGTTTTCTTGCTTTTATGAAAACTTTAATATTGTGAATTTATAGGTTTAGGAAGTGTTTGCTTTTTTTTACCGGGGTCCTCGTTTTCCATATTGGGCTCATGGTGCTCGTAATATGGAATGCTATATATATGTTTTTATTTGAAGAAATAATCGAGCTAACGCAAAGCTGATGCACTTATTTTTACTGTGTACTTTTATTGTGTATAAAAATCACCTCGTAAAAACTCAGACTGCAATATTTTCTTGATATATTCTTTTACGAACGTTGGCAAATGACAATAGTAATCGATTGCATTCATCACCAATGGATAGCAAAATTAGAATTCTTTGATATTTGCGGTGTTCCAAATTAGGAACGTATTCCATACTAGGGCAACTGACCCTATTTTTGAACAGATTTTTTTTTATATTTTAATCGATAAACAATAACGAACAATAGCAAAGTTATTTGAAGATTGAATTTTATCTGTTTGCTATTTGTTTATGTTTAAATATATTTCAAAATATATGTGCAGAAAAATATTTGTCTTAATTAATTATTTTATGTTAAAAATTAAATAAATGTATAAATTTGACTAGCATCAATTCAAAGAAATTCATCTATAACCCGAAACCATGAATTCCGGGTTTCAGAAACGATGTCACCCCTTGATAAAAATGCATTTTCTATCTCGTGGAGTATCTTCGATATACGCGAGAGATACCAAAAAAATAGTTCACATAAAAGTTGGACCTTTTTTTTTTTTTACATTTAAAAAACCGGGTATCGATGATTATCCAAATTTTATTTACTTTGTTCGTTTCTATCCAACAGTATTCCACTCTACTATCCTAAGCTACGTTTGATATCCCTCAGCTATATCTCTGTTTCTGTAATTTATACCATCATCGTATTCTCTTTTGCAATACGGCTACTCTCAATTCTGGCCTGCATTTTTGATTTCTCTCTGTCTCTACTACTCCAGGTTTACATTTCCTATAACTTTATCTCCATTTCTGTAATTCATATTCTTATTCCATTATATTCCACCGCCTCAATATGGCTATTAAGCTCGAAATGATCTATTTCAGTGTATCATATTTTTCCATCGTCTTGTTCGAGGTTAACGAACCTTGCCTATAACTCTGTTCTTTGATACGGTTACCCTTAGTTTTCTTATTTTATCCACCGTGACCTCCATACTGTTATCCAACTCTTATTGTGTACTGCTTTTTTTTTTAATCTCTTTTCTTTATTTCAGTGATTTTATATTCCCCGTTTTATTATCCCAGTATTTCACTGCCATCCTCCAACTGTGCTCCTGTTTCAGAAGTTTACCTCTTTATCTTATTCTTTTTTTCCCCCTCCCCAACAGCCATGATTAACTGCATCCAACTGGTTCAGTTGTATTTTAGCTCTCATTGCTTTTTTAATCTGTTACCTTCACTACTCGTTTTATTATCCCAAGCTTTTTACATTTTTTTTTCACTCGATCCATAAATATGCCTCTCGGAATAAAAATTCTAATTCTAGCTCGACTAAGACTGATGCAATCTATTTCTGTTCAATTATATCCCTTGTTTGTACCTATACTCCAGTGATTTTGTCATCCTTCTCTCGTTAGCCCTAACTTTTCCTGCTTTCTTCCAACTCCCTCTATATTTTATCTTCCCCCCTTGGTGTCCTTTACCCCTAACAATATGCCTATCAGATCGAATCAACGATTCTATCTCAGCGTACGCCTCTCTGTGCCAAAATGCACCCTGTCGCGTTGCACTCGACAGGAAGTCGAAAACATTGGGGCGTTTTAAGTAAAAAGATAAGCATCAAATTACGCTTGGCCCACCATAGGGATGATAACGATGCTAGATACTGTCTAAAAAATTTAGTTCCCCATTTAAATAAACTCTGATGCCTTGAAATTGCATACAAGACAGAGTAAAATATTTAAAAAACTCTATTTAGTTGACGATCAAAGATAAACTGTTGTTGAATCTAACCCAAAGCTAGATACTATACAGGGTGTTCGGCCACGCCTGGGAAAAATTTTAATTCAAAATAAGACGAAAATCAAGAATACCAATTTGTCGATGGAGGCTTCGTTAAAAAGTTATTAACAATTAAATTCAAAAATTTCAAATCGTTCTAAAAAAATTATTTTCGATTGTGGGGGTCAATTACAATCATTTTTTATCCTTATACGTACCCCCAAAATCCTACGCACTTACGAGAAAATAATTCGAGTAGACACTGAAATTTTTAGACGAAATTAAAAAATTTCAAATCATACTAAAAAGATTATATTTAATTGCAGGGGTTAATTACAAGCATTTTTGGTCAATAGACATACCCCCGAAATCCTACGCACTTTCTAGAAAAAAATTCAAGAAGGTGTGAAATTTTTCGACGGAAAAGAAATTTTTCAAATCGTTCTAAAAAAATTATATTTAGTTGCAGGGATCAATTACAAGCATTTCTGGTCAATAGACATACCCCCGAAATCCTACGCACTTTCTAGAAAAAAATTCAAGAAGGTGTGAAATTTTTCGACGGAAAAGAAATTTTTCAAATCGTTCTAAAAAAATTATATTTAGTTGCAGGGATCAATTACAAGCATTTCTGGTCAATAGACATACCCCCAAAATCCTACGCACTTACGAAAAAAAAATTCGAGTAGATACTGAAATTTTTGGACGGAAAAAAAATTTCAAATCGTTTTGGAAAAATTATTTTCGGTCGCGGTGGTCAATTACAATAATTTTTTGTGAATAGATATACCCCCGAAATCCTGCGTATTTTCGAGAAAAAAATTCAGTACGAGCGAAACTTTCAACGTTAATAACTTTTTAACAAAGCCTCCATCAACAAATTGATATTCTTGATTTTCGTGTTATTTTGGCCTCTAGAACCCCCCATTAAAATTTTTCCCAGGGTTAGCCGAACACTCTGTATAAAAAAAAAAAATTTTTTTAAATTCTGATGCCTTGAAATTTCATAAATTAATAAATTAAACGGATATTTAAATAGCTCCATTTAGCTGACGCTTAGAGATAAATAGAGAAAATATTGAGGGTGAAAATCAACAATAAACTGTTATTAAATTAACTCCAAAACTTTTGCTGTGCCCATTATAAAATTTGAAAGTTTATTCCCATTTTGTACCGAATGGAAAATGTGCACCGTTTCATTTTCACCTAACAATGCTCTCGTTTTGCATCCCTTAACAAAAGTTCTCGGCCGATGAAACGTTCGTAGAACCGGCTGCCGGTGTTTCTCCCTCCCGTTTCATCGAAGCAAATCTCACGGTGACATTTACCGTGGCAATACTTTCGAAACTACGGAGAAATAAAAGGCGAATACGCCGTTGGGTTTATGTTCGCGTGCAATATTTTTCATAGCGTCGCGAAACGGATACTCGAACGGTTCCCACCTTCCGTGGACGATTTATTTCATCATCCGACGTCGCTTTGTTCTTCCTCGGTCAGCCCCTGCTGTGTTCTTTTCGCTGACCTGGGCGGTTATGTCAATTTCATAGGCACCTGTATGCAAAACTGTCGATGCCACGCTCGGGCGACTCTCGATCGGGCGCTGATCGACCTTTGACTTTTATCGAGAGAAATTCCCCTCGAAATTCGCTTCGAATCACGATCACGAAACTTTCCTAACGCCGCCTGATGTGCAAAATGTGGCGTCGCGTTCAACAGAACACGTTCATCTTTTTCGTAAAATACTTCGCCTCGTGTTCTATTTGCAAAACGAAACAAATTGAACCGTCTTGCAACGAAGAGATCGTCGCTGCAAATGTATTTTATTTTTTACGAGGATAACGCACGATGCAAACGATTGTTATGGAAATGCTTTTGAATCGCGAAGCTAAATCGGTTTACGATTTCTGTCCCATACAGAGAGTGTAATTCGAGATGTGAGCGAAAAGTGAGCGGGCCACAAATAAGCTGCAAATGTAAAATGATGCTCTTTTGCGCGGGCTTCGTTACCGAAATGATTTTGAAAACGCGCGTAACTGAGACTCCTTTTACTGGATCGCGTTACGAGCATTTATCGTGCACGTACGGAATCTGCACAGTGTACTGAAAACGACGAATCTCGTGTAAAACGAAATATTATTTTTAAATTCCATCGATTTAATCGAAATTACAAAAGACAAGAGCTTTTAATTTGGCTAGTTTTTTAGCGAAACATTCTACGACTCTCGCGTAGCGTTTTGTTTAGTGTGATTGCCTTTGGCCTGCGTGTCGGGTCTAATCTGGACTATTATCGAAGCAGTAAACTCTTTTGAAATTTACGACCGGCTAC